GTCAGCGCGTCCTGTGTCCGTGCCCCAGTCCACGGTGTGTGAGAAGATCATGGAGCTGCTGGGGCAGAATGAAGTGGACCACCGGCAGCGGAAGGTGGTCATCCTGAGCCAAGACAGGTTCTACAAGGTGCTGACGGCGGAGCAGAAGGCCAAGGCCTTGAAGGGACAGTACAACTTCGACCACCCTGGGCCCTGGGCCCTGGTGGGAGCCAGGCAGCGGGAGCGCCTTTGGACCCCCACCCCTGCCCTGTGATGTGGAGAAGTCCACTCACCTCCCCTCGGGGGCCTTTGCACACCCGTTGTCCACTGCGGCCTTGCCCTGCCCGCTGCCTGCGCACAGTTCCTGAGAGGCCTGCGGGGGGAAGCAGAGCCCAGAGCCCAGAAACTTTGTTTCCTGGTTGGTCGGGGGCCAGGGGAACAGGTGGCAGTTGGAGAGGCGAGGAGGGTCATGGCCCAAGGAGGCCAGCCTGCCCTGCCCGCCACCACCCGCAGATCCGCGCCGCGGCCGACTCCCAGCTTCGTGCTTTCCGGGGACAGCAGCCTGGGCAGTGGCACTGCCTGGGGTCAGCAAGGACAGGGCCATCAGTGGCTGCAGGACTGCAGAGGGCTCTGCAGATGGAGGCTGTAGAGGCCACTGCTGGCCCAGGCGTCCCTCAGGTCCCGGGACCACCAGCAGGACCGCCAGCATCCGCCGTGGCCGAGGAAGCCCCGTCCCAGCACAGGACGCCTGGACCGTCTTGCCTTTTGTCCATCCCTGCAGAAGGCGCCCGCCATGACTTGATGCACAGGACTCTGAAAAACATCGTGGAGGGCAAAACTGTCGAGGTCCCAACCTATGACTTTGTGACCCACTCGAGGTGAGCAGGTGGTTCCTGGGAGGCCTTAGGGCGTCCCCTCCGGGGCTTACAGACCGCCCGCGGCAGGCCTGACCCGTGGGTTTCTGCGGACACCCCCCCTCCCACGTGATCTGTTTCCACACCCCCCTCCCACCGTGATCTGTTTCCACACCCCTCTCCCACGTGATCTGTTTCCTCGGTGAAGTCAGTGCCCGGGAGACCCAGGCTCCAGCAGGGCCCGCTCCCTGCTCTCGCCCGCAGGTTACCGGAGACCACGGTGGTGTACCCGGCGGACGTGGTCCTGTTTGAGGGCATCCTGGTCTTCTACAGCCAGGAGATCCGGGACATGTTCCACCTGCGCCTCTTTGTGGACACGGACTCGGACGTCAGGCTGTCGAGAAGAGGTAAGGCGCTCGGCCTCCCTGCCCCGGGCCGAGGCTGGGTGGTCGTTTCCCGGTCTGACAGCGGCCTCCTGGCTCCTGTCGCTGCAGTTCTCCGAGACGTGAACCGCGGGAGGGACCTGGAGCAGATTCTGACCCAGTACACCACCTTCGTCAAGCCAGCCTTCGAGGAGTTCTGCCTGCCGGTACCGCCTGCCCTTTCTCCCTCCAGAGACACGATGCGTGGTTCTGGGAGCCGGTGGGGAGGCACGCGTCCGGTTATAAATGGAGATTCAGCTAGTGCCCAGATGCCCAGGGCGTGCCCAGCTCTCCAGGCCTCCTCTGCCCTGCTGCTCCCTCTGCCTAGAAAAGCCACTCCCCGTATCCTGACCGGCTCCCTCCTGCTTCAGGCCTTGCCCTGGTCACCGGGATTGCCTGTGCAGGATGACCGAGACCCCTCTGCTCCCGGCCTCGGGCCTGCTTTCTGTGTTCCCAGGGGGCTTCCCATCATCTGACCGCACGGGCTATCTTGCTTACCCCCTTCGCTGGCCTCCACCTCCTGTCCGCTCAGCAGTGAGCCGGCCAGGGGAGCCGCGCCTGGCCCTCCGGCAGGTCCACTGCCTGCAGACACAGCTGCCCAGGCTGTCCCTCCTGCCTCGGTGGCGCATCTCTTGTAACATGTCTCCTTGGCCCACATTCCCACGCCAACACCGGACGGTGCATAGGTCTGTCCCCGGGGCCGCACCGTTTTCTCCTCCCCTCCCTGTGCTTTGCCTGGTCCGGGTGTGTCCCCGGCAGCCCTGCCCCTCCCTCGCACAGGGCTGGCGAGAGTGAGTGATGGCCAGCATGTTGTCAGCTGCACTGTGGCCGCTCTTGTGTGCAGTGCACCTTGCGCACCTGCCACTCCTCCGGGTTCTTGCAGAAGGGCCCTGATTGCAGAGGAAGCACGTGGTGGAGGATGCCACGCTCCACTTGGCCCAGTGAATTCAGTTGTTAGCACAGAGAACTGTCCTCAAGACTCTTCTATTGGTAGCATCGAGCAGAGCACAGCATTTCAGAGATGCAGGAGATACCAGTTCTCCTGGCTGCCGGCTGCCTGGAGCACCGCCTCACACCTCGCTGATAACTGCCCCATCCCTGCCCCCTGCCCCCTCCTGCCTGTGACCCAGGAATCCGGGCACCTCAAGGCTTGCTCCTCTACTGGATGGCACCTTGGGGGGTGGGGGCGGGTGGACAGATTCTTACAAGATCCTCCTCTTTGTGTTGCAGACAAAGAAGTATGCGGATGTGATCATCCCCCGAGGGGTGGACAATATGGGTAAGAACCAGGCCTGATGGGCTGCCCGACCCCCGTCTCCGTCCAGAGCCCCGAGGCAGGCACTGCCCCATCCCCCTGGTCACTGACAGTTAAATTATATGTCAGTTACACCTCAATAAAGCTGGTGGGAACATAGCTACTAGCACAGAGAGAACTTGAGGAGCCACTGTTAGCAGGAAGTCTTTTAACCAGGCTCCAGGTCAGCAGAAGGCCTCGCTGACCCAGCCAGCAAGTCTGGTGCCCAGGCCTGGACGTGTGTTTTCTGTCTGCTGAGACCCGGTGCCGGACAGACGGGCGAGGGGGTGGACACGCTCTTGTCTGTCTCTGCCGCAGTCGCCATCAACCTGATCGTGCAGCACATCCAGGACATTCTGAACGGGGACATCTGCAAGTGGCACCGTGGAGGGGCCAACGGGCGCAGCTGCAAGAGGACGTTTCCTGAGCCCGGAGACCACTCCGCGGTGCTGGCTGTCGGCAAACGGTCGCACCTGGAGTCCAGCAGCAGGCCACACTGAGGAGGGGTGTGCCTCCCGCAGGCCCGGAGGCGCCCGCCTGCCCCAGACACCTGCTGCTTCCTCTCCGCCTCGGGGACGGTCCCGTGAGTCAGTGTCCTCAGTACCAGGGCCCTGGACGCGGGGTCCCACCCAGCTCGATGGGGTGGGGGCTGTGTCTGCACCTGCTCCCTCGTGGTGAGAAGGGCGGGCGGCCAGGTCACTGAGAAATGCCACAGGGCGCGAGGCAGCCTGTGATGCTCACTCGGGGACACGGGGACACACTGTGGGGGGGGGGAGGGACGTCTGCACACCGTGCTGAGTGTTCCAACTGGTCTCACGGCGAGTTTCTCTGGTGTGATCAGTTCTCACATGTGCGACTGAAAGTGAAAATACCTCCCCTTTTTATTTTGTACGTCCCATGTTTTCTGTTTTATTCTGTTTCCTAACACCGTGTAGTGAGCTAGTAACCCAGTGTTGTGACCCGCAGTGGGTGGTGATCCAGCCTGCGACACGCTGACCTAACTCGAGGAGCCAGGGATGCCTTTCTCCTGGCCTGGGCTCCAGGGCGGGCGGGGAAGGAGCCTTGGGGACAGGCGTGTTTTTAACCAGCACCAGACAGGAAGCAGGGACACCCGCTCGCCCAGCCCCGAGCCTGCCCGGCCCCTGCTGGGGAGTGTCCACCAGGGGACCCTGAGCCCAGGGTGCTGTCCCACCTCCAGCCAAGGAATATGCTGGACCTGGAGGCATGAGCGAGTGCTGTGGCCCAAAGCCAGCCCCTCTCCCTCCCTCACCAAGTCCATGCCCCAAGCCCCCGTGGCCTGTGTCGTCCTGGAGTGTCTTCCTTCCCACGTGGTGGCCACGTGTTAAAGGGGTCCTGCCCCATCACTGTGCTGACCTGCACGGCACTCTGAGTAGTAGCTGGTCACATACCTGACATCGGCTGAGCCGTGGCCGGCTGCTGGTGACTGACAGTTTCGTCAAGCGTGTTGTGCCCTTTGGGGAGAGAATCAATAAATAACCATTATGAATGCCAGTGGTCCCTTTTTATTATTTCTTAAAATATATTTATTGATTTCAGAGAGGAAGGGAGAAGAGAATCATTGATCGGCTGCCTCCTGCACGCCCCCTACTGGGGATTGAGCTCGCAACCCAGGCATATGCCCTTGGCCCGAGTGGAACCTGGGACCCTTCAGTCCGCAGGCTGGCGCTCTCTCCACTAAGCCAAGCCGGCCAGGGCAGTGGTCCCTTTGTAATTACACCAAAAGGCGAGTTCAGGACAAGGAACAGATGACACACCTTGACTGTCTGCTCCTCGTTAGCCTCACGGGTGTGCAGTCAGCGAGAGGGTTGACACAGGGTTACCGTCTCTCTCAGACTGAGGCCCCGCCCGGCCGGCCCAGTGGCTAGTGACACTCGGCTGTTCCGGGCAAAGCCTAGAGGCCTCACGGGGCAGAGGCTCTAGCTCGGGGCCAGCGGGTGCTCGGGAGGGAGGACCAGGCGTGTCCGTTAGCAAGACCAGCCCGTCTGGTCTGACCCTCACGCCCGTCACTCCCACTCCCCGCCATCTCTCCGTCCCCGGGTCCCACACTAGCCACTCAACACGTGTCCCCGTGTAGGGCTCCGGGATTTGTGGGCACAGCGTGTTCTTTATTGTCCGCATAAGAATAAGGTGCTTAAGGTGAAGGGGACCAGAGGAGAGCCCCTGCCAGGCCTGGCCAGCTCCCCCGAGCGTGTCCCGGTCCCGACCCCGGATGTCTCGTGCCAGTCCTGCTAGTGTTTGCGGATCAGAATGTCCCAGCTCTCTTTCCAGCGAAGGGCCTGGAGGTCGCTGGGTGACAGCGACTTGTCCCCGTAGGTCAGTGGGCGCAGCATGTTAAACACGTGGCAGGCGGCCGAGTACCACGCCACCACCAGGGCGCCGAACAGGCTCCTGTGGAGCTGGGACCTGTGGGCGCCAGAGCAGAGCGCAGGTGTGAGGGGCTGGCTCTGCCCCACTGGCCGCGCACTCAGCACCAG